TACCATAAACAAGTCATTATATACATGTTTTATTGATTGCAATCCCAAATAATGCAAAAATAAGAATTTGGAGTCAAGTCTTAACTGCATGCATGTTGTGTGACCATAAAAGGCTAAAATACCTGATTATGTCAATTTAAGAGCTGAAATTTCCCATAAACAGAATTGTTCATCCAAAAAAGATGATTAAACATGTTTACTTACATCAAATATGACTTATTTTCATTGGAATAGGTACAACTTCTAAGAATTGAATTTCTGATGATTCTCTGTAATAGGAAGTACACCACTAATTCGTGGCCCCATTGCTTTCTATGTTAAATTCCTCAATTTCAAGCAGACACAGCTCTTTTGTTTCAAGTTCAAATAAAGTGACAATCATTGCATGTCAAAGCAACACTTTACGGTGTCTTGTACTGGAAAAATCAACATACCTTTAATGGCATATAAGAAAGAACTGGTTCCCGGAACTTCGGATGTACCAAAACAGGTACTTCAGATCTGACATACAGGCAAAAAGTACCCTCTTTATAAAATTTGGTGCAGTTTTTTTAATATTTAAAATTATAAGTCAAAAAGTGTTCTACAATGATCACCAGTCATTAAGCTTTCATTTGATACCAACAATACCTAAATATTCTACATATTTTGAAAGTTACACTCATGCGTAGGAACTATTTTGTGCTAAATATGTACTACTTTCTGGTATGTGCTTTCTGGCCGGGCCGAATTAGTGGTGTTACACCAATACATTTTTGTTATTTATGTTTAGCTGAATCCATATTACCTCAACACCGGGCACTTCCAAATCATCACGTCTCTTCGAGTGAATATTTTCTTTAACATATACTATCACACCTCCCCCACTTTTTATGGGACACCTATCTTTTCTGAATGGTTTCTGGTAGTTAAAAAGTTCAACTGAGTCTGTCGAGTTATTACCGTTCAACCAAGTTTCAGTAAATGACAGTTTATCAAAATCTTCTACTCAGCAACAATCAGATCAAGTTTTGGAAGTAAGCTTTGCACATTTAAATGTAAAAAGGAAATTGAAGTTGAAAACATTTCACGTGAACTGTTACTCTCTGATACACTTTTCGAAGCAAATATTATGATCGTCATTATCATCAGATAATTGATGAGGACCAGGATAAGTTTCTATCCCACCAATAATTAGAAGTAATTGAAGAACAAATAACACAAAATTAATTTGAACAACGTGATCCGAAAACTGATCGTTATCGCCAAAACATTTCGATTGATTAACACTTTCGTTAAAACCGAAGTGTGAACGATTTTTTATACATTTGTTTAAAACAGACAATTCAAGGGAAAACCAAATCATTGTGTTAATTCTTAATGTGTTAACCTTGTCTTTTGAAAAATTCAACAAGTAGAAAAGATATACCTCATACATATTACAAAATAGATTTTTCGTGTTACCACATAAGTATTGATCGACTCCAATACCCATTATGTAACACCTGACTGATCAACTAAGTAGCGAAGTGGTCATACAAAGCTACATAGAAGATAACAGTATAAATCTATACAATCTATAAATAAACATTCAATAGAATACAAGACACAAAACAGTTTGCATTTCATCGGTGCACAAAAATAAACAATAAAAAAGGAATTTAACATATATAAAAAAATTATGTTTCTGGCCCAATTAAGGAACATACAACTGGGGCATGGAGGATTTGAAAACAACGTTTTTTTTTACTATGATGACTGACAAAAATTTGAAGATAAAGGTCATTCGTTTGCGAACTATTGTTAAACAGTTTTTTGACACAACCGTTAGGTCGTGATAATACGCATGAGTAATTATTTATACGATCTTAACTGTAAAGTTATACTTATAACTCTCCTAGATGTTTTGTTAGATGTAACAAAATTTTTACACAATTTGTTGAGAACATAGATTGTAGTGAATTCATATTAAATAATAAAATATGTAGCAAAATTATCCTAAAAGCTCCACTTATGATTTACCGATAACTTTGTATATGCGATTTTGATTATTATAATTTAATTGTTATATTTGTTTTTTTGTAAATCTAAAATTTCAGATATAGATACATAAGGCAAATTTATAAAAGAAAAAAAAATACTATACCCTTTATAATAAATAGGGTTTTCCTTTAGTTTAACGGTCATACATTTACGCAAATTACAGTAAGATACAAATTTTAAGCCATTTGTGACTGATTTCTATTTTGCCATTAACATACAAAAGCTACTACCGACTTATTTTGATTTGCTATACAGTTTATGCATGTGACTGGTATCATGTCTAGGATCCATCATGTCGATCATCTGAGATGGCTGATTGATTAATAGAAGCTGCAGAAGAAACTGTCTGGGCATAAGTACGGTATTTGGGATCTTTGGTACTCTCTTTGTTGTGGCGTCTTTCTGTAGAGTTCATTTCCAGTCTATGAAGGAAATCAAAAACGCCTGGCATACACAAATTGGTACAAAACTGGTCAAATGAATGAGTGTTTACTTAGTGTATTTGTTCTTGGTTGTCCTTCACCATTATTTTGCCATCGTTTGGCCATGTGTCTTTTATAATATGTTCTATTTTTAACTGTCGGATCTTGTAAGCAATGTTGTTTCTTGTTTAAGTTAAGTCTTCGTTCAGTTTAACATTCTTCATATCCTGTCTATTTTTCGGTAGCTTTTTGCATCGAAGTATGCGTTTTTTGACTTGAGGGTCTTTAAGTCTAACAATAATTTGCCTTGGTGGTGTGGAATGAACATTATTCTCGTTTTCATTGCTGTTAATAGTGAGCGGCGCCGGACCAATTCTATGCGACCTTATAATGTCTCCAGGTTGCAGCTCTCTGTCAATCGATTTTACAAGGGTTGTTACCAACTTACCAGTTGTTTCCATATTACCACCGTCAGGAATGCCATTGATTCTCATTACATCACGACGTCCATATTGCTCGAGCAAATCAAGATCGTCTCGCAATTTTTTATTTTCATTCGTAAGTTTATTTATCTCTTGTTTATATTGGTCTATGGTTGCTTTTGATAGTATAATCAATTTCGGAATGTAGCATTTGTTTGAGTTCCAGTGCAATTCTAGTTACATCGGATTGAGTTAAAGAACACGTGATTGGCTGTGAGGTAGACTTTAAGGGTGGTTGGTGGTCAAAAGAGCTAAGTCCAGCTTCTATAGGAGCATGTCTTATAACGGACTGATCGACATTTATAGACGGAGATTAGCTGAAGTAGCTGGTGAAGTTTGTGATGACACTATAAATCTTTTTGTAGATTCCTGTTCCCTTGTCGCCATCTTATGGTGTTTATATATCTCAACTTGTTCGATTCGCTCGTGTATGTAACAGCGTATTTGATTTAATCGAAAGAAATCTCTGTATTACTTTAACAATTATTACACCAGGGTTTTCGATATCACAAACTATTCAAAAACATTTACTAAATTTTATCATCGGTACAAGGACATCATTCGAAAATATATATAAATCAACATGCAGACATCTTGTAAGTTCATGTATTTCACATCCAATCTTTGATGGTAATATTCTTTACAAAGCACAAAAATGTCGGTATTCACCTCAAAAGCTAACCAAACCTTTAAACAGACTTATTCAGAAGGGATATAGTTATGATACTGTTGTCAGGTCATTAAGGATTGCATATTTTGGTATTAATATTGATTCACTCATAGGGTCTTTGCATCGGAAATAAACACATTTATTCTAAAACCAGTTGTTGGCATGATACGGGGTTATGTTCTTCTCTTATATTTTATGATGGTATGATACTAAACCCCTAATGGGAGGGATTGTGCATGATTTTCGTATGATGAAGACATTATTTTTCAATCAGTTTAATTGAGGTCTGGAGCTGGCATGTCAGTAACTGCTAGTAGTTATTTGTTAATTTATGTATCATTGTCATTTTTCTTAGTTTCTTTTGTTACCTATTCTGACATCGAACTCGGACGTCTTTTGAACTGGGTTTTACTGTGCGTATTGCTGTGTGTTTCCTTATTCTACATTGGCTAGAGGTATAGGGGAGGGTTGAGATCTCACAAAACATGTTTAACCCCGCCGCATTTTTGCGCCTGTCCCAAGTCAGGAGCCTCTGGCCTTTGTTAGTCTTGTATGTGTTTTTAATTTTAGTTAATTTATGTTTTGGAGTTTAGTATGACGTCCATTTTCACTGAACTAGTACACATTTTTATTTAGGGGCCAGCTGAGGCCCATCTCCGGGTGCGGGATTTTCTCGCTGCGTGGAAGACCCATTGGTGGCCTTTGACTGTTATCTGCTCCTTGGTCGGGTTGTTGTCTCTTTGACATATTCCCCATTTCCATTCTCAATTTTATTCAACATATAAAGAATAGAGAAAATTTTGGTGTTAAAATATAAGGAATAGAAATTGATAGGAAAATTATTTAAAAAATAGACGGGAAATGTTATAAATATTATTGAATAAAGAAACAACTACAAAACAGTTGTAATAAGTGGTAATTGAAGGACAATAACTCCTATTAGAAATCCGCTGATGCTTTCGATCATTCATACTTATCTGTATATCTTTCTAAGCGTACAAGTTGTTTTTATCAATTTAAAGTGTCTGTTATTTAATCTGAGTGTTGAACGTCCTACACAACAAATAAATTCTTTAAGTCGGAGGGTTAAAATTTCTGAATTAGTACCCCTGCATGAAATGTTAATGACCAACTTACCAGGTGAGCCTGTCAGGCTCCTGGGAGTCTGTAGTTAGTTCTTTAAAATATCGATATCTATGAAACGAGAAGATCCTTTTTGTGTGTTGCTTCTCCGTCTTCTAGATTAAATAGTCACTATGGCTCTCTTTCCTAGAGGTAGTATGAAAATTGTAATTTTGTTATCCACATCCTTTTGATTATTCATTTTTTGGTAAGTTATTGGGGAATAATTCGGAAAACAAAAATTACCATCGTTTATGACATTGTATATATTTTTGATTACAGATAGAAAATGAAAATGTTAATGGTATTGACGGTGCTCTGTATGGTAATATTTGGTAATTATTAACTTATCGTTTACTTAATGTTAACAATCCTGATACGTGTTCTGTATGGTAATACTTGGTAATTATTAACTTATCGTCTACTTAATGTTAAGAATTATGATCCAACTACATTTCATAAATTCGTAACCTTGCCAACTTGAAGTTTTGCTTATTTTCTTTATATTGATAGAACATGTTTCCCTAGTTCCCTTTACTGTGCCTTCATTGATGTTCGTGGTATACAAATTTTCGTGGATTTTGTGGTTGTAAAAAACACAAATTGAAATATTTGACGCTATTTAATTGTGTGATTACAATAATAGTAGCAAATGACGAAACAACGTAATAAAGATCCCTCGAATTATTTTTTTCCAAAACTTGAAACAAACGAAAATAAAGGAATCCACAGTAATTGCATTCGTGGTATGGTATACAAGTGTTATATTTATGGTCACATGTGTAGAATGAACAATTGGCAGTCCACACCAATCTAAGGCATCAGTAGACTTTACGCTGAAAAACACATATTACATATATATATATTAAAAAAAACAGTGTATATGTGTTGCAAATAAAATACTGTGTAACAGATTATATAGAACCTTATATCATTTACCATGTATATGAGTCCAATTTTTGAACGATAGATAAATAAAAGAGATGTGTTAAGCTTACTACTTTATCTGTCGTGTTATTTTTTTTTAAATAATGTTTCGAAATATTCATATAATAAAAGAACGATATGTCGACAACATTCAACATTAGAAGTTGGAGGTTTTAAAAACAGTTATTCAAGTTGGACTGTCGATGTTTGCTTTTGTGAAATATCTTTTAAAACACAGTCCATCCATATATTAGAAATAAATCATTTAATGCCATTTTGGTTAAATTTGATCTCATTATATGTCCGGGCCCATTTTAGACAACTAAAATACTACTTATCGCACCAAGCATCATAGCAGTCAACAAGAACATTAGTAATGTCAAAAACGTATGCTAGAACATATAATGTAGTATTGAAAGGAAGGCTTTTCTCACATTTTTGGTTTAATGACTGAAAATTAGGAACTGATATTTTGGTAACATCCCAGAACGAACCAGCAGCTTACTTCATCACTTAGAGTTATGGAATGATTCTTTTTTCTTACTATCCCGGAACGGAGAAGGTATGAAAAGGTCACTTTTCTGTCCTTTGAAAATTATAAAGCATTAAATTGTATCAAGTGACATCGTAAAGATGTTTACGAGACCACTTAAATGTCCATGAGACCTTCCTGGTCGGTCAATATCAGCAACATTTGGTTTCAGCTTATATTAGGTACATACTGAATCAAAATGATTTCCCGACAAAATTTCACATTCGATAAGGTCGGTGGCCTTTAAGGGAATCTGTAATGTTGTATCCGGCAGTATTTTGTGATATGTTGCCTCCGTACACATCGAAGATAAAAGTCTCCATCAGTTCCTCTTGGTATCATTTATATAAATATATATATCATCTACATCTAGACCTAATTCAATGAAGATCGAAATAACAAAAAATGTCTACACAATGCTCGTTGACCCTTTTCGTGGATTTTCGTCGATTTCTAATCGCAAACTGAAACTTTAAGCGCTATATGCATATATCAAAGTTGAAATGTTTCCGGGAAAACTTTTCATAAAATCTGTGTCTATTTGAGTTTCCCTTTGTTAATATTTTTAGAGATATCATGTTTTAAAAGTACATTTTTATTAAATTTTGTTGATAAAAATCAATGAACTATAAATAAAAAATTGTGATTTGCGTAAGGGTAAACTTTTTTCTAGAACAATGATAATTTACGATTACTTGTAGAGAAGTAACAAATCTTTATCATATATGCTATTTGGCACTAATGTTTAGAACGATTCTGTTTCTTAACACTATGGGAGGAGAACGTATGATAAAGCCACTTTTTAGTTTCCTGATTTTGATAATTAAAATGCAATAAATTGTATCAAGTAACATCACAAAGACATCAATTACTAGTATAATTTATTCAAACTTTGTATTACATTTTCTGTTAGATTTTTCGAATCTCATGTATTTGAATTTCACTGTTTTTGCAGTTTTTCACATAAAATAATGACTTGATTATACCTCATTATTTAGAAACGGCGATAGTCACGTGATTTTCTGCTTTGTGTTGTGTCTACCTTTGATTTTATGTTTAATCTAAAGGTGCAAGTTCTCAGTATATGACAGGTGAGTACTGCCAGGATATTTTGTGTGAATATACGCATTCAGCAACAGATTGTATCAGCTGTTGTCAAACCAAAGGATTTAGTGCAGGTGGAGCGTGTAGTTATGACAAGTGTTTGTGTTACGTTCACGAAGGTACGTGTTGTATTATTCGGGATTTGATTAACTTTATTACGAAATGTGATGTGTATTTATAAATACGTCAAGTCATACAGTGATTCTGGTTTAGTACTTAACTAGCCTACAAACGTTGTCAAGCTGATATGTATCCGAAAAGAACCAAAATATAGCCAAACCTATACAAGGAATCAGATCTGTGTAAAAGATAACGTAATTCTAATAAAAAATAATTAGAAATACAAAATTAGAAAAAAATGTACACAACTCCATTTGTAAATATCACTGATTTATAAAAAAAACTACATCGCAAAATTCAAATAGATCTCATGTAAATAAATCTTTTGCTAAATAAAACAAAAACTGTAAGGATACATCTACCATATAAATTGGCGTTATATACATAGAAACGGTGAGTAAAACAAGCATTCGAAATATTCATAGTACCGTCTTTAAATGATCTAAAGTTGAAGTTAATTCATGAATATTTTCAGTCTCTATAAAGCAGAGATCCTGTAACATGTGTTTTCAGATATACGGATTCCATTTTCAAATATGCTGTTGAACTATTAAATCAAAATGTGTAATTTTATTTGTTAATTTTATTTATTATAATATATATATATATATATATATATATATATTTGCAGATAACAACGACCGTTGATCGTCCAAGAAAACACGCCACAGTTAAAATTCATGAATAAATAACTATTACTCTTACAATTGATTTTTTAAGTAACCTCCTGATAAATGACTTATCTAATAATACTTTTTTTCTGGTAAAAGGAGAGCAATTACATCAGTATACTTTCTACAGATTCATAACAAAAAAAGTGTACGTAAATAAAGTATGATTATAAAAATAAGGAGATGTGGTGTGATTGCCAATGAGACAACTATCCACAAAAGTTCAATAACGTGGATGTAAGTAATTGTCTGTTTACAACTTGTCATATGATATTACATCAGTATGCTGTCTACAGATTCATAAAAAATACAGTGTCCGTGAATAAAATATGTCTGTCTGTTTACACCTTGTCATATGACATAACATCAGTATACTGTATACAGATTCAGGTATGAATAAAATAGATTCTTTATATTTCCAAGTCACCATACGTCAATGTTTAAACTTTGTCAGAATGCGTACTCGGTATTTCGTATATAGAAATAAGAAGATGTGGTATGATAACCAATTAAGTAACTCTCCTCCAGAGATTAAATGACGTAGAAGTTAACAACCATAGATCACAGAAAAAGAGAGGAGAGGAAATTCGCCAAATTTCTTTTCGAAACATCCGCAGCAAGGTTTGCCAATGCAAATATTTACTGTGCCATCAAATGTGTCTGGTGATCTTCCATTTAAGTATAATTTTTCTAACACCCATACAAACAGTCAGTTCACTAACTTTAATATGTCTTGGGATGCAGACAGCGTGAAATTTCATTCTTCTGATAAAAGCCATCAGCAAGAAAAATAGGAACGTCATCGTACTGTGAATAGAGGAATCGCGTTTTCTGATTAATCAGAGCATTCTAATGATAAACAGAAGACGAAAAGTCTCAAATGAATTGAGATGCTACCCGAATGTAAGCTAGAAAAAATACTGTTCAAGTTAACACTAACGACGTTCTCGTCGCGTTTTGTTGAACGATGTTCATTCCTTCATCCGACATGATAAAACAGATCAAACGAATGAAGCTAAAAAAAAATCAATTTGTTAAGAACGAACGTAGCAAGCACAACACTGGATTGACCGTTCAAAGGTCAAAACCGGTTCTTCAAACACATCGAGAGGTAAAAAAAGAGACTTGGTCGACACAAATTTGGCGAAAGGAATTTGAAAGAGACAGAGGGACAATTCACACCTACTGAAATAGTAACTCGTTTTCAGGAGGAGCGGCCCTCTGAGAAAACAAAAACCGTTAGTCGTGCACATAGCTAAAATTATGTAGTCGTTTATAGTTTTAATACTGAGATCCGAACTTTAGGAGCACACCATAATAATCAGTGGAAAACGAAGTCACCATTTTCCCTAGATATATCCAATAAAGATAAGTCTGTACTCGGACATAATAATCTCGATAACACCCACAATTTCAACTGCATGGGAAAATAAATTTCTAAGTGATACACTAATCGATAATACTAATAATAATGATAAACACAAAATAAATAAAGTAGCATGGGTGAAACATGCAAGTCAACCTCGAAAGATACACACTACTTTAAACAATAAAAATCATTTTCCTCGGAAGGACAATGAAGAAAAGTTTTTAAATTTCCAAAGTTCTTGGCACAAATCCTGGTGGACAACATAGTATTGACAACTACTATACATTTTGAATACTTGTTGATGTATGAGTCTACATTCGTCACAACTTGATTATCAACCCTCACAGACTGATAAAAAAGGAAGTAGATATTTGTACATATTTTGTAGATGATATGAAAACTGAAATAACAGCTTAATTTGATAAACATTTTTTCTTCCAAAGATGCTAAGATTTGGTTTGAAGGTTTGGCTGTACCTGTAGAAAACTTATTTCAAACGGATTAGCACATCCTAAATTTTACGGTGATGTTGTTAATCGAGACCGGAAATTAAGATACGATCCGGGTAAACTTATCAATCCTTTAAATAAATTTATTCTAAAGGTTTACCGATTCAACACTGTAATTAAATCTTTGAATATTGTTTTTTTTTGGTTTAAATATTGATTTTGTTATCAGTAAATTAAAACCATACTGAATATTATTGTTATACACATATGTACTTTCACGGTACTACAATCTGTCGATACCTATATTTTGGCTTTGCACAAGGTCATGTTTTTTTCTCTGATTGTTAATGACGTCTTTACACTAAATCCATGGGATGTTTAATGTGTACTGATTGATGTTTTAGTCTTAGATACATGATTTATTTAATTAGTTGTTACTGGCTTTGAACTAGCTGTCAGTCACTGCGAGTACTCTCAGATCTGTACTCAGTGTCTTTTTTTGTTGTTAGAGATGAGGGATGGATAAATACCCTGAAACGTCCGGTCTGTGTTTTTGATTGAAGTGTAACTGATTTGTATCGATCTGATGAGTTAAGCCTTTTTCAACTAATTTTTATAGTTTGTTCTTATGTTGACTAGTGTGAGGCTAGCCGGCGTTAATATTCATGAGGCTATAGCTAGCCGTCAATAATATTCATGAGATGAGACCGCGTTCGATGAAGTGGTGTGTGTAATTAATAGATTGTGACAATAAAATAACATGTTGCTGTAAATATCCAATATGGTTCTGCTATTTATATCAATATAAAATCTTAAATCAATAGGTGTCTTTTGCAAGGTCTGCGTTTTTGAAACCATTTAACATAAAAGTTAATAAAAAGGTTAATGCCTCAATACACATAAAACTAAGAAACGATTCATTAAAATTATGTGATTAGTGAAATATTTTAAAATGAAACTACAATAAATAAAAGGATGATTAAATATAGAAATTAAGCGATTACTGTAAATAAAGAAATTGAACAAAGGTGACGCCATGCTTCTTCAACATAGGACATACACTCGTTCAAACAATCCATATAAATACGGTTCTTATTAATAGTTATCATCTTTGACTTCTCGAAGTGTTTAAACATTTGACATTAGTGATTTAACAAATATAATTTACACGTACATTGAAAGGAATTAAAGGGAAATAATTTTCATATGGGCATTCCATAATCTCTTCGTTTCTGCAAATATAGACTCATCTCAAAAGTACAACATGCCATAAATACGATCGTATATCTTCCATTTTGAACAGATCATACAAACAAGAAGATTTACAGTTAATGAAAAAAACTGAAAAATAAAAACTATCAGTTACTATTTCAATGACATATCATTTTTCAAAACTACGGAGATCAATCAGAGTCTTTAATCTCAACATTAATAGGCCATACCATTCAGAGGTAGGCATGGCATCTGAAAGGCCCTAGACTCGTACGATATTGTCAGTATAGGGTGGGGGAAGGGGATGTACCTCGGTATATCACATAGTCAAAATTAAGTATCGCCGGCTGGCCAAACAAGGAGATTCTCCACGTGGGCCATTATACCAGAGGTAGAGGTAGGCATGGCCTCTAAAATGGCCAAATAACACTTATGCCCTAGACCCGTACGAGTTTGTCAGCATATAGTTGGGGAGGTGGGTACCTCGGTATATCACAAAGCCAAAATTAAGTATTGCCAGCTGGCCAAACTAGGAGATTCTCCACGTGGGCCATTATACCAGAGGTAGAGATAGGCATGGCCTCTTAAATGGCCCATAGCACTATTGCCCTAGACCCATACGAGTTTGTTTTCATAGGGTTGGGGGATTACCCTTTACGGTGTCCTCGTTTCTGCGGTAACTTGCCTCTAACGGTTACTTTCAGACCCTCCAAAAACATATTCTCTATACAAATTAACTAAAATCAGCTGTCACTTCTCTAACGCGGTCAGCGGTCACCTATTTGTTGCACGACATCTTCATTTCAACTTTTAACAATGATCATTTTAGAGTTTTCTTCACGTTTACAGCACCGGAATCTTATCTTCTTATCCACTGACGCAAGAATTATAACTCTACCGATTGAAAAGACTAAAACAATTTGCCCCGATCCCGAACTTAGTCGATCTCGGAATCAATTTGTTTTTACGGAACCTCCTTTCAAAGGTAACCTCTCTTGAGCGGTCACTTTCGACACTCTACAAGATTGACTGCTTAATACAGGTTTGACTGTATATCACAAAGTAAAAATTAACTATTGCCGTCTGGCCAAACTAATCTCATCTGTGTTTGATATGAAATTCATCTTTCCCTTGCTTAATCCAAACTCTTTTAGAAATATGCGTCTAACCCGCTCAAAATGTGAAATGGAATTGAATGAATTTTGAAAGTTGATATTACAAATTGCATTTACTGTTAGCTGTATGGCGATATTTATCAGTTAAACGGGCATGGTCGCGAACTTTATTAGTTTTTAATTCTCCAACGCATATATTACAATGTAACACTTGAATCGAAAGATACATAGTGTTCATTCTTCATTCTCAAGCATTTGTATAAGGCCCGGATGGATTTGGTTGCCACGAACCCTCAACGTGCAATTGCAATTTACAAATTTGATATATATACCTTGCTCTGATAATTCTGTTTCTACAGACTCATGTTGACTGTAGTACTTGCTGTGTTTTTCTAAGATGTTTTGTCTGGTGCATTGACTTACACATTGTCGACACCAAAAAGTGTTATGTCCATGCGTTGATACATGTGATCCTAAATTTGAGACAAAGGTCTCGATCCAACAGTAGTGTTGACTATCATTATTGGTTACAAATAAAAGATCTACTAGCATTCGTCTGATTCTTTACTTTTCGATATTCTGAAGGAGTATGCTTCATCTACCTCCTTATAACAAAAACGTTTTATACTGAGATCATGTCTAATCGCTCAAATTTATTAATCTCCTTGAGTGACCTTGAAAATTTAAATCTGAATTAAAATCATCTAAACATTTGTGTAGTTTTCAATTATACTTCTTGTTCAACTTTTTTAATGGTAGCCATTCCACTTTTTTCTTTGCACTGATTTATTTCATTACAAACACTATTTCTATAAACGGTGTTTGTTATTTTAAATATTGATGTCATGTTTTATTTACTCGTAGCACTTAATAAAAAACTGTTTTTTTTTG